ATGCATGCCAAAGTAATATTTATACCATCCTCTATTGCTGCAAATAGTTTGTATTTCTTATGTTCCAAATAGTTATAATTTAGTCTAACTTAATTTTACTAAGCTTTTAGAAAAAAAAAATGTTACTCTCTTTTTTTTTCCCCAAATTGTAAGTCATTTTGCCTTTTATAGGTACATCTTTTTTCTATGCACCCGTATCTAGAGAGGACAAATGATTTATAATTTGAAACGGAGAGAGTAGCATTTATAAGTTCAAACAACTATCAAGGCATATTTCATAGAAAATTTAATGAAACTAATTTGACGTTGTAGATTTTTTTCTATAAAAACTTGGTTAAAATTAGAGAAGATTGACTTATAATAACGTGAAAGTAAACTGCAACTTAGAACAGAGTGTGTTACTATTTGAAGCTCAAAAAGGTCTCCATGTTAAGTTTTACGAGGTGTGCTAGGAAAAATAATAAATCCTAAAAATTATAAGAAAAATAAAAAACATGGCTTTTAATTTGGTAGGTTCTAATTATCACCACCACTAAGACATTGGATGTATTATGCTTTCTAAAAAATTACCCACTTATACCATTATGATAAATTCATAAAGTAACGACTTTATATCTAAATTACCCACATCTACCATATAACCCCCTGAATTTGCATCAAAATGGCCCACTTCTGATAATTTAAAATAAATCCTTAATTTTGTATCTAAATTATCTACATCTATCATTAACAAAGACAATTCAAAGTAACCCCTAAATTTACATCTAAATCACCCACATCTTCCATAACAAAAATAATATAAAGTACCTTTAGTTTGTATCTAAATTACGCATTTCTATCATTTGAAAAAAATAAACCAAAATATACCTCAAACCGATCTTGAGCACTTCATGGTTTAAATGGACATACCACCATAGTACTTCAGAGTGCAATCTACAATCTAAATTTTTTATTTTTAATAAAATACAAAATGATAGTTGATAAAAGATACAGTAAACACAAAGTTTCAACTTAAATTGAGGATAAAATATTATAGCAACTAATAAATTCAAAATTTTCAAATCAAAATCTAGATTAATGGTGGTGCCATGAGACATGGGCTGCAACAAGATCCACCATAACTTAAGCTAGGGTTTTAAATAAATGCATATTAAAGGTACATGAAGGTGCCAAGCAGAGGGGGAAAGTATGTATATATGGATGAAAAGCCATATAGATAATAAGTTAAACAAATGAATAGAAATCACTGAGTATCTATATATGTATTGCATCCAAAAATGACAAAAGAAAAAAACATTAATATAAGTAAATTTTATTAGTTGTAGGTATTAAACATAAACATCTAATAAATATGTCTTCTATGGTTCTAGCCCATGCAGGAGCTTGGGTTGATGGGCTAGTAAGATATAGATTTATTTCCTATGGAACTCTTATGTGAATCTCATCTTTAGAATAAAGCCTTATATATATATATATATATATATAAGTTTATAATAAGCTTGGCTCATGAATTTTGATGATTATGCTTGCAGGTTGGAGGATATGTTCAACAATACAAGGGAGGATTCACATTTGCCTCTGTCAGAGGAGCTGGTCATATGGTTCCGTCCTCTCAGCCCGAGAGAGCATTAGTATTATTGGACTCCTTTTTCAAAGGGGTGCTCCCACCGTACGTAATGGAGCAGTAATTCCTTCAAGGGATATATGCTCAATGGCAAACTCAATAAACAGGAGCAAAACTTTTCTGTGAGACAATGTTGGTACTTTTCATTTAGTATAACTTTGATTGATGTTGGTTTTATATTATATGGTATGTGGTTGTTATAATTAAAGCTTCATGTTTTCCCTTAGTGGACATGGATTTTCGGTCTGTGTGAAGTGACAAGAGTACTATGCACAAAGATTGTGCCCTATGCATGTGAGACAGTGCACTCCGTTATCCTGTTTTTCTTTAAAGCTGGGCAACCTTCTGTTTTCCAATGTAATGACCATGAGTATGGTTGCATTCTTTAGGTTTCAACACTATATTTCTTTGGATTATTGGTGACGTCTTTCTAGAGTTGTTTCTGGAGTGTTTGGTTTTGTGAATCAATCCGTTCTAGATGAAATAATGCATCATGAGTCTATCTCTTAAATTTAATGAAATGACTTTATTCATCGTACTAGTATTAATTATTATCTTTATTAGGAACGAGGTTATATAGATCAACTTATTCCGCAAAACAAACAAAAAAAGTAGTGAAATGATAATGGACTACCTCATTTCACACATCAAACACCCCCCTAGCCACCCGATGTGACCGTACCCAAGACTTGTGGAAATGGACTACTTTAAGAGACAAAACAATCCACTTATAGAAATTGATTTTCATTCATAGTTCACTTACAAACTAAAACAAACTTGAATTTCAAAACCGAAATTCTGACTCTTTTACCCCTCTTTGATAGTCCTAGGATATTACGGGCATCTATTTTCAACTGATTACATTACCATACAACATCAAACTACATAAATAAGATTATTACGATGGTTTGGATACAAGCCCTTGGCACTAAAATCAAACAAAAACATCGATGTTCTATTTGTAGCAGCGAAGCTTGGCGAATCTCTAATCCACAGGCATCCTTGAGTGTAGACGTGAACCCACTACTAATTCCAACATCACTGCAAGTCCAAAAATCTACACACCACGTACTAGATATGTGTAGGCCATGGTCATCACCAATGAGATATAGGGGAAATAGAAAATTAACTAGAAGCATGTATGGTCTACGTCGAAGGTGTGATAGACGATTCATCTTCCACACCTTAGAAAGTTGGTGGAAACAAAAATGAACTAGCGAATGGTAGGTTGTGTCGCGATGCGCTAAATGAAATGCATGACGAAAGGTGTGGTGCGGGAGCTATGCTGCGGCATGGTGACCTTTGATAGCAAACCAAACAAACCCTAGATCTTTAGCATCTTGATGTAGATCGGGTAAATCTAGATCCAATCTAACATAAAAATAACTCCCTACAACTAAGATTTGATTGATACAGACATGAAAAATGCATTTCTAACCCCAAATAGGAGCATCACGTTTTAGTCATTAGTGATAGGCTATAACTTATAAGCCTCACCATGCCATAGGTAAAGTTGCATAGTGACGGGAGATAGTTGATGCCCATCACTACTGCACTAACAAGTGATTGACAATTAACTCATCACTTTTGAGTCTGTTGCCTTCGTAGGATCGAGATGGCGACTAAAGGGAGCTGCATAGTGACAGGAGTTAGTTGATACCCATCACTACTTGCCTTTACCACAAGTCTGGGTGCAGACATGGGATACAACTAAACAAATTGGCTTGGTTAGAAAGATTTGCCAGACCGTGGGGTACAGCCGAACCAACTTTCCCTAGCGGAGTCATCCAAAAGTGTGTGTTGACGCGAATTAGGTCACCACACTGGTAAGGAGCTAGATCGCTCGGTATAGGTGGGCCAAAGATTAGACAAGCCAACCCTCAAGTCGGCTGACACCTATAGTGTGCTCATAGATGAACACTTTATCTGGTGCCTCCAACAATGAGCGCGATACACAAGACAAGTCACCGGAGGAGCCTCGTTAGGAGCACGATACACAAGACATGCCAATGAAGTCTCTTGAAACCCAAAACCCCACTTGCCCAAGAGGGACCCTATCGGGGTGTGTGTGGTGGTTATGGGGTGCCCTAGCTGGCTTGATCGCTCTAGAGCTTCATCGTCGTTGATCCACCGACCATGTAGCAGAGATGAAGAACGAGGAGAGGTAATAGATGGGAAAAGGGTAAAAGAGATGTAGTAGATTGATTTTGTCGATTGTGTAGTTAGATTACCTCAATCGGTTGTAATATTCTAATATATAGAGGGGTGGTTTTATCCTAGTAGGACACCTTTCTCAAATGAAACCTACAAGTTTCCCATGATATTGGGCGAGTTTAGATCAAGTAAAACTCAATCTAGACTCGAAAAACTGGCCAGGTGTAAGCTCCTAAACGGCTAGAGAGGGGTGAATAGTGTATAAAAATTCCTACAAAATCACTAGAGCAAATTCATTAGTACAACAAATGACGAAATATAATTTTGCTCTAGCTCTACTTTGTGTTACAAGTCACCTATCAAACAATTCTAGTTGATTATAATCTCTAGGCACACAAAGGCTAAGTCACTAATTCTACGACCATGATCCGATAGATTTCCTTGTAACTGACTTAATAGTCAACATCTCATAGAATCTAGCTAGGCTTGCATAGCTAGACAAAACGTATCAGCGCCCCTGTAATTTCCGAGCATACGTGATAAGAGATCGATTATTCACTGTTCGTAGGATACCCCGTACCCGAACTAATATAAATATATGTCTCATGTGCTACCCATTCACTGCGTACAAAATGCATTGTCAACGAGAATTTCTTTGGCATGGAGGTTTGGCTAAGTATTAGCAAATCCGTTGGCCCACATGTTTAGATCTTTAGGTACTAATGTCCTGTTCACTTGGCTGATAAGTCACGACTGAAAGTATCGTTGGCTGATTTGTTGTGAGAGAAAAATATTGTTCGTTGGTTGAAAAAATACGGCTTATAAGCCAAGCGAACAGGACGTAAAAATTAGCCAACTAGTTGTTAATACCATGGATCAAACAGGACGATGCTCCCGTTCCAAACTAACTTCCTTCCGTTGCTTCATGGCGTTTGCAACATTTGATTAGAGAAGTTTGATTTATGGTAAGTTTAAAGTGACCTGCATTATGAAATGAAAGGATTAGTAGATAGCTAGCTCACAGATTCTAAAAAATGTACTTTCTATGTAAAAACAAAAGGAACATAATGTAATTATTTATGTATTTACCTTTGTTTTTTCTTTGGGGAAGAGTTATTTTTTTATTATATATATATATATATATATATATATATATATATATATATATATATATATATATATATATATATATATATATATATATATATATATGCGTGGCCTCTCAAAATACGTTCACCCAAATCAGACAGGCTGGCAGCACGAGCCCAAAGCAGGCAGCCACGCTGACTCCGAACGCCATTCTCCCTCTGTCCTTCCTCAACAGCATTGCCTCGTATACTGGGACGTTGGCGGCCGCCAGCGCTCCACAGAGCACAAACTGAAGACCAAACGCGCTCAGGCAGCTCGTGCTGCCGCAGCCACTCGCCACGACCCGGCTCAGCCCGCCGGCCAGGCACACGAGGCTGAGCAACGCGGTGGCCGCGACGATCACGAGCTCGGGGGAAGTCGACGAGGCCCCGAACTCCATGAGTTCTTGCTCGTATCTCCTTGACTGGTCTTCGTCAGTTACTTTTGGGGTGATGGCGAACGCCATGGCCGATAGTCCGAGCAGCCTCGAGACGGTGTCGATCATGGCGAAGAGGTAGGACGTCGTTCGTTTGATGATCCACATCCTCTGCCCGTTCCACCACCCTCTCAGCGAAACCCCGGAGCCCAGTGCCTCGTAGAGGCTGTATATGTACGTCGCGGCTGACACGTAGACGAATGTGATACTCCATGGACTTGTGATCTGAATGACATCATCAGAATGCGAGTGAGTGAGAGCTAGTGATGCAAACTAGTTAGGACCTAGGAGTAGGCAAAACAACAGAGCATAAGAATCACCACCTCCGGGAACAAAGGGATGCCCTTGAGGAGGCCAAGTGACGGGACGATGACATAGTACAGCGTAGGCAACGAGCTTGGAGCCCATAGACCGTAGATGCAGTAGCCCAGCTGCAGCGGCAGCTCGATCTTTCCATGCCCAAACAACACCGAGCAGTACCGCGAGAGCAGAATGGAGAAGTTGCCCTCGCCGAACCTCCTGTGCTGCAGCAGCGTCTGAGCAAGCGTCGTCGGAGCGAGGCCCAGGAGGTTCGGAGCGAGCGTCGTCGGAGCGAGGCCCAGCAGCGTCTGAGCAACCTTTATTTTTCGTAGCAATATATTGTAGATGTAGATGACTCAAAAGTTAAGCGTCTTTATTTTTCGTAATGAGTTTTTTGGAACAGAAAGAACACAACCTAGAACTATACCAGGCTTGACAAATAAACCACCTGAATAATCGGCTGGTGATTTTGCGAGGTAACTTCTGAAGAATCACACTCGTAAAATCCCTTATGCATTGCTTTGATTTCTTCAGGAACCTTGCCCAGCAAGGCCGCAGAATCGATGCGCTCGGTCATTTCTTTGTACGACTCCTGCTCATCGACCAAGAACACATGGATCATCAGTACAGTGTCGATGCAGCATGCATGCAGCTCGATAATTATTTCTCTCGCGCGAGCCCCCCACGAATGATTAGCTATCAATTACTACTACGTACTGCAAGAATTCAGTGCTGCAGCAAACGCTGTACTACTGCACGTACAGCCAGCGTTCACTACTACTGCAAACCGGCCGCCTGGCCGGCCTCTGCCTGCCCTGCTGGGAAGGAACAACAACAACCGATCTCCAGATGAAATTAAATGAAAGCATGCGTATTTATACTCTTATTTATTTACCTTGACTAGTGACCATTCTTCGTCGCTGCACAACAACGCACCTGCAGCACGAAGCTTAACATCGGTCTCCGAGAAGTATGCGGCCGGTGACCTCGGCTCGATGCTGTGTCTCCTGCAGAATGGCAGCCAGCTTGGCAAACCGGGACCTCTCCCACAGAGCGTAGAACGTGAGGGCCGAGCAGCCGTCGTCGGAGAGGTAGACGCTCAGCTTGTCAGCCGGGTAGCTGTACGCCATGACCGAGAGCACCGCGGAGACTACCAGGCTTGGCGGCTCCGACCGCGGGTCCGCGGTGCAGACGAAGATGTCCACGCAAGGGAGCTTGTCGCCGAGCCTGCTCAAAACCATTCCAGATAGATGCAGGTTTGAATTCAACGAGAGTGGAGAGCGGCCTCCCCACCTGAATTTTCATTCCACTGATGCCGGAATAACCGGGGGTGGAAGGGCATGGCGCCTATCCAATTACATGTAGATCATACAGAAGACGGGGTGAGTGATGGACTACATGTTAAGCAGGGAACTCCAACTACTGAGCAACACATTGCTCTTCCTAGGCAGCCGGTAGCACCACAGCGCAATCTCCTCTTTGCAGGCGGTCATGATCCTGTTCAGGTTGGGGGCCAAGCCTCGGAACACGACATCATTCATGTGCTTCCACAGCTCCCAGCAACAGAGGAGGATGAGAGAGCTCACCGCCGGTCCAGGAACATGGCGGAGTGGACTTCCAGAGTTCGTCCACCGGGGCAATAGCATCAGCATGCCACCCGATGTGTCTCCAGAACGATCTGGCGAAGGGGCAGCCAGACATGATGTGGTCGGCAGTTTCCTCCGGCGCGCAACAAATGTCACAGTCAGCGTTCTGGAGGATGTGCTTGCGGCGGAGAGATGTCTTGCATTGGATACGGTTGCTTGTCAGAAGCCACCCTAAGAACTTAACTCGTGGAGGAGCGAAGTTGCGCCAGACGAAGTCGAAGGCTGGGCATGTCTGTTCGCCGCGCATGGATGCCCTGTAGATCAAGCCCGACCGGAGCTTGTGGTCCTCTGTTTCAAAGCTGCAGTACCTCTCGTCGGGGGCGGACGTCAAAGTAACATTGCCAAGGAGCTGTGTCAGCAGAGCTAGCTCCTGGGATGCCTGGGTGGAGAGCCGTCGCTGGAGCACGTCCGCGATCCCCGTGTGCACGATGTCGTGGACCGAGCGCACGCGGGCGTCGGCGTGGCTGTGCAAGGCCGGTAGTCGATCCGCCAGTGGAGCATCCAGCAGCCAAGTGTCATTCCAGAAGTCGGTGTTGCGGCCGTCCCCCACCGTGACCGAGGTCATACGCTGGTATGCCGGTAACAGCTGGCGCAGGGCCGACCAGTGAGCCCCATCGAGGGTGCCGCTCAGATCCGGCAAGTCGATTTGCGTGGTGACCCAGCTCGCCCACGCGGAGCTCCCTGGATGGTGAAGGCGGTGGATCAGCTTGAGCAGCAGTGCGGCGTTCTGTGTTTCCAGGCGTTTGACGCCCAGGCCACCATCTTCTTTCAGCTCGCAGACGCGCTCCCAGGCAATGAGACACTTGGCCCCGGAAGCGTGGTCAGAGCCAGACCACAGAAATGCCCTGCGCCTGGCATCAATGGCCGAGAGTGCATATTTTTTAATGGGAGCCGGGGGTCGGTCGGCAATTATTAGGGCGTTTAGAATTAAAAAACGACAATGGTGGACCCTGCGTGCTTGAGATAGATGCAGGTTATTTCCCTTCCATCCATGGTGCATTTTAGTTATTTCAGTAAGGCCAGTCTCTGAAAGTTTTACGAGAATTTCAAGCTGATATGGCATAGTATAGTAGGGATGATAAAAGTTTCGTGATAGTCACAATAGTCACAATGCTAGAAACCGCCGCAAATAGTTTCTATGGCTATTAATTTATGTAGACATTGTATGTAGAAACTATGTTACTAATGAATAATTTCAACAGAAAAGTCATTTATCCAATCATGTATTTTCTTTCTCCCACATTTACCTATCACATCTTTTTATGTCTTGGTTCTTGTGTAGGCATGATTTTTTTATTAAGAAAACCATTTCCTCCTACTCTCTTTCTCTTCGATTACTGTTGTTGGGTTCATAAACCCGGGGTCCCCAATGCACCCGCTTCCCTGCAATACATGGCCCAGCAGGCGACGCAGCGACAGCGTGCGTCTGGGCCAGCCCAGATACACAATGACAGGCCGAGACCATAATGCGGTCCCCGACCGGCACCTCCGACCAAGAGAACTGGTCGGAGCCCCGACCGGAAGGCCTGGCCGTGATGGGACCGTAGTCCAACTCCGACCCTGTTCCTCCGATCGAGTATATGCTGGACCTTTGCTCGCCTCTCTTTCCCGACCAACACAGTCGGGGCCGACTGGGAACGACTGACCAGGACGCCTGCTCGGTGTGGGCCCGGGGAGCAGGCGGAACAGATAAGGTAAGGCACTCAAGTCAACCGCAATACCGAGGACCATACCCTGCCATGCCTTCCATACCTGCAGGATGGTGCCGTCTGGCCATGTCAGATGGACACAATACAGCCTGCCAGACGCACTAGAGCACAAACAGTATTGTGGGCGCCGTCGTTTGCCGTCACAGGCGAACACTATGCAGCCTGCCAGGTACAGCAGGTCATGAACAGTAAGGTGGGCGATGGCGGTGCAAACAGTAGATGGGCGATGGCATGTCGTACCCGACGGCGTGGGCGACAAGACTAGGTAGCACCCATACACACTCTCTCCCTTTCCGTCTTTGACTTGTAAGGTCATCCCCTTCATCTATAAAAAGAGGATGCGCTCTCTTCTAAAAGGACAGAGTCTACGCACTCTCAACAGCGGATAAGCTTGGACACACAGAGCATACGCTCCAATACTTAGCGCACGTTTAAGTATCCATCACTCTCTTCCACTCTGCAGACTCACACCCCTCCGGACCCCGTGCATAGGGCCTGGCGCATGCGTAGGAGCATGGCGAGGACTTACGACAAAGGCGGCAGAGCAAGCCGCCACCTGCGCCGGCGTGCCCGACGCATCACGCTACGCCACATGCGCGTAACCTGGCGAGCGGCGCTCGGGGTCGTGGCCGTCAAGTCCAGCGTAACATACTGGATGGAGGGGACGATCCCCTCAGTTTGCTTGAGTTGGCCAGAACATCGCTGTTGCGGTGATGCTTCTATGTGGCCTCCTCGAGCCAGCCGACCCTCAGGAGCAGGCGATCCACCGGAACCTCCGGGCGCTGGTGGAGACCACCGCCGTTCAGCAGGCGGAGAGCTCCGCGTTGCGACACCGGCTCATGGCCTCTTGCCCAACCGGGGCACCGGGGCTGCACCAGTCGAATCGCTCTGTCCACTCATCGCAACAGTTGCCAGGCGTGGAGCAGGAAGCCGTAGCTGCACCGCAGCCCGACCCGGCGCCCGCTCCACACCGACGACCTGTGCGCGAGCAGCTCGGGCCAAACCGTGATGCTCGTAGCGTCAACAACAATCGGCGCCATACTCAGTACGATGATGACGTCCATCGAATGGTGGCAAGAGCGGGCGGCGCGGGCCCCGGCCAACCACCGCCGAGGAGTACGAGGACACGCACCCTAGGCGTGGCGGCCGACCGAACGACTGGAGCCCTAGCCCTAATGACCCGAGGCCATGGGCCTTTGGTCGCCACATCCAGAAAGCGCCGTTCCCACAGCGTTTCTGACTGCCCACCAACATCGCTAAGTACACTGGGGAGACAAACCCCGGTGTATGGCTCGAGGACTTTCGGCTCGCCTGCCGAGCCGGTGGAGTGGATGATGACTACTTCATCATCTAGTACCTCCCCATCTGCGTGGGGGAGCATGCTCGGGCATGACTCGAATTCCTTTTGCCCAACAGCATCCGTCGACTGGGCGGACCTCAAGAGGGTCTTCATCGGGAACTTCCAGGGGACGTATGTCCGTCCAGGGAATTCCTAGAACCTCAAGAGTTGTCAACAGGAGCCCAATGAGTCCCTGCGGGATTACATCCATAGGTTCTCAAAACTGTGCAACTGCTTTCCTGATGTCGTCGACATGGATGTCGTCAGTGCATTCCTCTCTGGGACAACCTGCCAGTCCCTGGTCCAGAAGCTCAGCTGTGTGAAGCCCCGTACCACCCGCGACCTGCTCAACATTGCCATGAACCACGCCTCCAGTGAGGAGGCAGTCGGGGTGGTCTTCAGTAGAGGTCAGGATAAGGGCAAGGCCAAGCACGAGGACCAAGGTGAGGGCCCCTCCACACAACAGGGCAAGAAGAATAAGAAGGATCGGCGCCGATCGGCCAACCCAGCTTTGGTCGTCGCTGTCGATCACGCGAGCAAACAGCCCTAACAAGGCCAGTCCAACCACTTCGACAAGCTCATGGAGAACCCATGCACCAACCACACCTACCCTGTCAAGCACCTCTATAAGGACTACGAGCTTCTTAAGTGCTTCCTGTAGCAAGCCAACAAGCCAAAGGAAGGGAAAGGCAAGGAGGACGTGGCCAAGAAGGGAGGCGCGGCGAGTAAGGATGGAGATAGCTTCCCCGACCCTGAGGAATGCCTCATGATCTTTGGGGGATCCAACTGCCGTCCACTCCAAGCGCCAGCACAAGGTACGCTACCAAGAGGCATGCACCGCCGAGTCGGTCATCCCCTCTTTCCTTAGCTGGTTGGACTCCCCGATCACTTTTGATCAGAGAGACCATCGTTCACACGTCGCCCGACCGGGTCGCTACGCGCTTGTCGTCGACCCCATCATCCGCAAGAAGCGCCTCACCAAGGTGCTGATGGACGGACGTAGCGACCTTAACATTCTATACGTCGACAGCCTCGACGCCATGCGTATCGCCCGGTCAAAGTTTAGTCCCATGAGCTCTCCCTTCCACGGAGTGATCCCGAGGACGCAAGCGTACCCTCTCGGGCAGATCGACCTGCCCATCACGTTTGGCGACTGAGCCAACTTCTGCTCGGAGGTCCTGACCTTCGAGGTGGTAGACTTTCCGGGGTCCTACCACGCCATCTTGGGGCGGCCATGCTACACCAAGTTCATGGCGATCCCCAACTATATCTACCTCAAGCTAAAGATGCCAGGACCGAACGGCGTCATCACCATGGGTAGCACTTTTTCGCATGCCTACATGTGCGACCGTGAGCATTACGAGCATGCCACTACCATCATCAACTCCACCGAGCTCTCGGAGCTCGGGAATTCGGCAACTCCAGTAGTCCCCGACTGCAATGGGCCGACCTCCTCGAGTGACTTCCATCCAACCGAGGAAACAAAGGCGGTGGAGATCGACCCCACCGACCCGACCAAGATGGTGCAGATCAGGATCAAGTTCCCT